ACTTCCCTTCATCACCATTTTCCCAAAGGGTTGATTCTAAAACCCATCCTTTGCCCACTTACCTAAGATTCTGACTGCACATCAAACAAATTCATCTTGACCTCTCTACGTAAGGCAGTCTATTGAAACAAATACCATCCTTACTTGATCCCGAGGCCATGGAGACATATCAAGCTCGACGTCACAACCACCTTCCCTGGCAGTGTTCTGAATGCCACCGCCCATGCTTTCCTCATGTGGTTGAGTCCCTACACCAATTTACAATGCGAATTTCCTGGACCTCTTCAGAGAAAGTGGCTTATAGATCATTCTCCACACTTAAGAAGTTACCTGCATCATCTCGAAGCAAAAACAGGAATGCTTTTCGTTATAGTCAATATTAGCAACGCTCCCTAAATATTAGGACTCTCTTCTACCTCTATCCCCAGGACTTCATTTTCTGGTGAGGTTCCATTTTGTTCTGGCCAGTTTTGTTACTGCTTCATCCAAAAGCCGTAGAGGAGGTCAACACATGTGTACACATACTTGGCACAAAACCCCACATCATTTTATCGTGGCTGGTATTTCACAGCTGTGGCATGAGGGGTCCCAAATGCTTCATGTGTGTCGTTGATTAAGGGATCAAAGGAGGAGCTAGGGAAGAGAGCTCTTTGAGATTTCTGATCTAGAAACTCGATCCTCTGGGCACGGGCTTGGTTTCATTTATATCTGAAATGTGACCAGGGCCCATGCTTGGCCACTTCTTGTTCAGAACTATTTTTAAGGCACCCTGCACATTCCCAGCTGCATATCCTATACACTGCTCTCTCTTAACAAGTCGGAATCTCTCAGGAGATTTGTCAGGAGCCACAGGGAGGAAAGTCAGGGAAGAAATCTGGTGCATGATATGAGAATCTAGCTAACATCTACCGAGATGAATAGGCACCAGAAATATCTGTCCTTCTGAAAAAAAAAAAATTTTTTTTTGGTGTGCTTGCATTAATGGGTTAGTGGATATTAGTGCGTTCTGACTTCAGCTTGTTCTGCCTATAATTGTTTTAAGAGTGCCGTGTGGATATTCCCTTCCCTCCCTAAGATTAGTGTGTGTACTAAGCAGCAGGCCTCCTGCTGCACAGATATGTCATCTCCTGAAATGTTACAGTTGTTCAAAGGTGGTTTTTCCTTTTCTCTTTCTTGGTGTTCTTGCTGCTACTGGTGCTAGTTCTAGGAGTAGTGGTTTAATCTGGCCCAAATACCCAAATCTTTCAAAATAGGAATGCACTTTCTCTCCTCTTACTGCAAATATGAAAATCTACATAGGTTTCAGAGAAGGCATTTCACAAATGGAACTTGAGAAATTGATCCTTTGTTAAAACTTCAGCTTAAATAGAGAAAGTTTTTTCCTCTTTTAAGCTGTTGGTACTAGGTGTCCTATCAGCTCCCCACCCCAAGGAACTAAGGGCAGAGCTAAAGGAAATTCACACGTGTACAGTAGTAATCGGCTTGCACAGATAATTAGTAATTTCAAGGACAATGTAAGAGGAAGGAAGAACACTGCTCGAGGTATACTGGCTTCAGTCTTGGACTCATTCTAGATGAAAGTGTCTGAGTTCACCTTTTCTGCAGTTACGGTGGTGCTCTGTGGTGTCGGGCTGCGTGCATGAGGCTCCACTGGGAGCAGCTTCTGGGTCGGGCTGCCCTGCTCACTGATGGGAGCTCCATGTACCGTTTCCATGAGAGCCTCATTGGAAAGTTGTGGGCAATGAATCTGGGATGTTTTCACTAAAACGCCTTTAAGAGTTCTGCCTCTAGGGCGCCTGGGTGGCTCAGTTGGTTAAGCGACTGCCTTCGGCTCAGGTCATGATCCTGGAGTCCCCGGATCGAGTCCCGCATACGGCTCCCTGCTCGGCGGGGAGACTGCTTCTCCCTCTGACCCTCCCCCCTCTCATGTGCTCTCTCTCTCTCTCTCTCTCTCTCATTCTCACTTTCGTAAATAAATAAATAAAATCTTAAAAAAAAAAAAAGAGTTCTGCCTCTAACATTGTCCATTGTCCAATTCTTTAACCCAGTGTAATACTGGAAGACCAAACTCCAAGCAGGGGACATCCACCCCAGGGACCGAGCAGCTCCTCTAAGACCCCGACTCTGCAACAGATCTATGTTGGGCTCCTCTCATAAAAAGAAAAACTACAGAGCTATCCAAGTGGTCCTAGAAAACGTTTTGTCTTTTAAAAAGTATTTAAAAATATAACGTGTTTGCATACATAATTGAGTCTTCCGTGTGAAATGCCGTAGTGGATAAAGAAGTCAGAACAAAGGATGTTTCAGTTCCAGTGAATACTATTCCCCCTTCTAGGAAATGATGTTGTCTGGGACTTGCCTTTCACCATAAGCTTTTTAACTTTCTCACCAAACTTTGTAAAATTAAAGGAAACTGAACAGATGTTTAAGGGAAGCAACAGAGCATGGCAAGAGAGCTGGTGTGCAGTCCGTCACATGAGTAACCTCGAGTGGACGGCACTCTTCCGAGCAGCGCTCTTCACGGCAGGGTGGGGAGGTGGCTGAAGCAGGCCTGGGGAGACCATTCTAGACCCAGCTCACCCACCAAACTCCCGGGGGCTTCATGGCAAGCCGCCTCACTCTCAGACCTCCATTTTCTCATTCATGGAATAGAGGAATTCGCCTGAAGATCTGACATTTCCTTCTGAGCTGTATTGTGCAGTGATCCCAAGTCACCACGTGGCACCAGCTAGCTCTGCTAAACTACCTCTTGTGGAGGTTTATATTCCCACAACACTCAGTTTGAGTCAACGAACTAGGTTTCTCTCCCCAAAGTTGCTGGTTTCCGAAGCTACGCGAGGCCATGCGCATATATGTCAGGTAACAGGGAAACTTATCAACGCCCCAGTGTTAAACAACATCTTACCAGCGTTTAGCTAAACAAGGTGACGTGTGACATGCCCTGAGTGATGAACATATGGGAAGGAAGCGGGAGTTAACCTCAAACTGCTCTCCCAGAGAACGGGGCTGCCATGTTCAGCAAGAGCTGTGCTTGTCCAGATCAGGAAACAGCCAGGGAAAAATGAGAAAGGGCTAGAGTGGGCAGAGGAAATTGGGCCCACAACTAGGGGAGCTGAGACAGCCCTTCCCACTTGGTAGTCTTCAGTGGCGGGACACCCTTCCCTCTTTATTATCAGTCAGACTTTACGTTCACACAGCATTTAGCACTGTTCATGGTGCTTTCTCAGCCAACAGCTCCTCAGCTCTGAGAATCATCCACATATAATCACACTAGGCAGGTAGGACAGTATTTTTCTTCCCATTTCACAGATGCAAAAACAGAGGCTGAGACTTGCTTGAGAAACAGAGCTGGTCATGGACAGAGCTAGACTCAAGCCCAGGGCCCCGGATGCCCCTGCCAGAGTGGATTCTAGCACAGCGTGGCATCCCTGCTAGAAAGAGCTAGTGGTGCAGTGTTCACTGAAGACTAGGAATTGTGTCTTCCTGAGGGTGTCAGCCTGGAGATGAATCATTCAATTGTTTTGAAATGTGCATAATTGTGAGTTTGCTACTGCCAAAGCAACCAGCATTCTCAGACGAAGCCCCTGTGTTGGGCACAGGCTGATCGCAGGGGCTTCCTGTAGAAGTTTCATAGAGATATAAGACACACCAATCCTTAAATCCACATTTGTTTTTATGTAAGCTTTTCAAGGGCAGTTTTCATGTCACTGTGTGCCCAAATCAATGAGGGTAGAGATGTGACGTACTCTCCTACAGGACAAAGGAAGAACCCAGACTGGAGATCTGGGAACTTGGGTCTGGGTGAGCAAGCAGTCCCGTGTGCCCACCTGGGACCGTGGGACCCACAGCTCCTCAAGGCATTGGCCACAAGCTGAGCTGAAAGGCGCAGGTGCGGCTCTACCCCAAGTGCCTCTGAGAGCATCATTTCCTAGTCAAATGCCTGACTTTTTTGCTGAATGAGCTCAGTGTGCTTACAGGAGTGAGTCCCTTGTTTTTGTCACCCCTGCTGTCTGGGAGTCACCAGGATCCCCTGGAGCTGAGCAGTAACACCCCTACTGGGACTGATGAATTAAGAATTTTCATGGTGTGGGGTGCCTGGATGGCTCAGTCGGTTAAGCGTCTGCCTTCGGCTCAGGTCATGATCCCAGGGTCCTGGGATCGAGCCACACATCGGGCTCCTGGCTCAGCGGGGAGTCTGCTTCTCCCTCTCCCTCTGCCTCTCCCCCTGCTCATGCTCTCTCTCTCTGGATCTCTGTGTCTCAAATGAATAAATAAAATCTTTTAAAAAAATAATTTTTCATGGTGCCCTACTCCTGCAATAACCCGCCTTGACCAGCAGTATCAGAGCCAGGGATTCATTCCTTGGTGACACCTGTCTCTGTCGTGGGTAGAATTACTTGCCAGGAAGAGCTTTCACCGACAGGACTGCTGACAACTGTTTCGTATGATGGAGTCCCTCTGGTAGCCTTTGTGGGGGCTGGGAGTTTTGTTGACAAGAGGTTTCTATGGCAACAGAGAATGCTGCCACCCAGCCCCCAGGCTGGGAGTGCACTCCCTGATTCTGCCCACTGGCTGGAGCCCTGTCCCTGGAAACTACAGGGCAGGCCACAGGAGACACAGGGAAGGACAGTTTCCACCAGCCCAGCAAAGACAGTGCTTGGTTTTCATGCCTGTTTTCTTTCCTGTTTGACAGAAAGCTACATAACACTCACAAATCAGTCCCCTATGCCTTGCTGTGTTTCCAGGCGTCCACAGGCAGGACGATGCTTGTCTGACAAGGGGAGCTGGCAATTGCCCGCCTTCACCCTGTGCGGACCCTCCCATTCCAGTTGCATGCAATGGATCCTGATTTCGGGGGAGTCCCGCCTGGTTCCGTACCCGCCCACCACGTCCCTTAAGGGCCCTGGACCCAAGTAGGAAACACCACACAGCCAGCCACACAGCCAAAGGAGGGTTGGGAGGCAGGGGTCGCTGGCCGCTGGGGCCAGGTGGTCGCTGACCTCTAGACCGAAGCAGCTCTGGCCTCCCAGCCGGCAGCTCCCAGCGTCCCCGTCGGCTCGGCGGTGCAGCGGCTCTGGCTCATCCCCGTGCTCCTGCCCCGGCTGCCACTCCGGCTGACCTCTCAGTTTGGACTGTCAGGTGCATGGGAGGGATTTGGATTTGTTTTGTTTTTAATTTTAAATAAACAACAAAGGAGAAGAGGGGTGTGGCAGGGAGGGGAGGTGCTGAAGAAAACAAAAATGGGTAAAGTAGACGATGGAAACCACCACCGGACGAGGAAAGGCATGAACAGACACAGTGCCGTACAAGAGGGACAAGAACAGAACCAAAATGAGGATGAGCAAAACAATGGCTGAAAGATCTGAAAAGCAAACGAGAAACAGAAGGGGATAGAAGGCAGAACACTGGTTATGAGGCGCATGCAATGGGGATGCGTGAATCAAAGACTCAACCGCAAGCACACTACCCATGAAGGATACGGAAACAAGGCTCCTCCTTCCTCGCTTGTGGTCGAGCAGCAAAAGCCATAATCCAGGCGGCAGCTGGGTCATGCACCCAAGGGCGATGCATAGGAAAACAGTCCTTGGAGGGCCACTCCACTCCGCCCTCACCCTCGGCTTGGGGAGGGCAGCGACTTGCTCCTCAACGCCATCCTTCTCCCGGGCCGGCTCCTCTCCCCACTCTGGCTCATCTTCCAGTGGGAGCGGGTGCGCCTGGCTGCCTAGGGCCTTTCCGACCTGCACTGCGTCCCTCTGGCCATCAACCCAGGTAGGGATGCACATGCTCCTGAGCCAGTCTGCTAAGTATCCTGACTGCGAAATGAGTTTGTACTTTGTTTTAAACTCCTCTGCTTCTTCACTGAGACAGCTGGTCGTTTGAGACACCAAAAAAAAAAAAAAAAAAGGAAAAAGGATGGATTGCGTCGGTCCCTATCGCTGCCATTGGGGTGAGCCTTGTGTCATGAGGGAGGGCCTCTAAGCCAAGAGCAGCGGCGCAGTTAAAAAAAAAAAAAAAAGAGAGAGAAAAAAGGAAAAAGAAACAAGGAAATAAAAGAAAACTACAAAAAAAACCCAAAAAACAAAAAACAAAAACCAGAAACCCAACCAATAGAAAGGATTTGGTTGACACTTGAGGCTTTAGTACAATGCAGGTTTGAAATCATAACCAAGCAGCCGTGAGCAGGATGAGTTCAAGTGCAGCAATGCCAGCAAGAAGGAGGAAGAGCAAAACGGAGCAGGGAGGCAGAGCCAGGAGCCCCCTTACCTGCAGGTCCGGGACCAGCTCCTTCCCCAGGGTCCCGACTGGGGAGTCCCGGGACACGGAGGTCACAGTGGAGAGAAAGCTGGAAGATTCTGTGAGGTGGGGCAAGGGAGACAGGTCCTCCAGGCGCTCCCTCAGGCCGTCCCCGAGCCTGCGCACCTGCTCCAGGAAGGCCTGCAGCTCCTTCCTAAAAGCCTTCATCCTCGAGTTGATGGTGCCCAGCAGCGGGGGCTCCTTCTTGCCTGTCTCGCCCGTCTCCCCTGCCCCCTGGGCGTCAGGCTCCAGTGAGGCCTCGCCACTGCCCCGCAGCCCCACGTTGTCGCCGAAGCCAGCGGTGTCCGTGATGAGGCGCTCCACGGTCCGCTCGAGCCGCTCAGCCTCGTGCTTTATGCTTGCCAAGCACTCGGTGTCCTCCCTGACCCGCAGGAGCTCGGCCGGACACGGCTCGCTTGCCTCCGACGGCTTTCCGCTGCCAAAGCCCGACGTCTTCTCAAACATCTCCTCTGAGTCGCTCTCGCCGCCAATAGGGCCCTCCCGCTTGGGCTGGGGCTGGCGGCCTTCCTCCCCGTCACTCTCCTTCTTGCCCTGGTCGCTGTCCGCGTCGCTGTCCCGGGGGCTCGGGGCGCGCAGGCCCAGGTGGGCGGCCAGGTCATAGCGCTGCACGTTGGAGAGCAGCACCCGGTTCTCATACTGCAGCTTCAGCACCTTCCCACTCAGCTCGTTGATCTGCAGCCGCGCCGACTTGAGCTCCTCCTGCAGAGGGGCCCCGCTGGCCGCACCCTTGCCCGTGCCCTCCGCCAGCCACCCTGGCTCTGGCCGGGGTTCAAATTTGAACTTGCTCAGCTCATGCGTCAGCTGCCGGTTGTGGTCTTCGATCTCGGATATGGACCTCCGGAGCAGCTCCGCTTCCTCCTCCACGAACTGCAGGTGCCGGCGGAGCTCCGTCGAGGACTCCAGGGAGTCACCGAAGGGTGAGGTAGGAATGCTTGCCATGTGGTCCCGGCCTGTACCCTCTCGCTCATACTGGACCCGCAGGTCCTCCATCTCCGCTTTGAGGCCTCGGTTCTCCACCTCCAGCTCCACAATCTTCCGGCCCAAGATGTTGGCCTCTTCCTCCACCAACTTCAGCCGCAGCTTCAGCTCAGCCTCCCTGGTGCTGGGCGGCCCGCCTGCTTCCCCCGTGGGGAGAGGGCTGTCCACGTCTCCGTATAGGGCCTTGTACTTCTGGAGCTCCTGTTCCAGCTCGTCCTTCTCCCTCCCCAGCTTGGCCATCTTCTTACGCATCAGGGAGCCTTCCTCTTTGGCAAACTGAAGCTGGCACTTCAAATCAGCACTGTCATCCTGCCAGGAGAGAACATTTAAAAATACCACATGTTCGTGTTTGTGGTGATTTCCCTTGCACCTCGCCCCCAACACACACACACACACACACACACACACACACACACACACACACACACACCCATGATCTTTACATCAGTGTGTCAAGTTCCAGGTCAAAGGAGCCAAGACAATGCCGACGTGAGCCCAGGCCTTCACGGGACAGACACTGCAAAGGCCTACGGTCTGTGGCTTTGTCACAGAAACCAAAGAAACCAAACAATTCGTTTGGGAAAAACATGCACGTGGATTCCATGGTACAGATGATGAGTGCAGAAGACGCAGAATGAAATGAGACCCAGTGCCTGTTAGCAACGCGGCAGTCCCTCCTTACTTTGTGGGTCCAATCCGACTAATCAGCAGCACCAGTGAGAGATGCCAGAACCCCTCACTAAGCCTGGTACCACAGACAGGCATCATCAGTAGCTACTTCTACCTGCTGCCACTCACTTCCTCCAGTGTGGACCTCCCTCACCTGAAGTGGCCGGCAGCCCACAGGTAAGCCAGGACGGGGAGGCCCTGATCATTGCACCCATTTGCTGAGACACTGAGATGTGGCAATCACCTCTACTCCTCCTCGGGTCTCCCCACCCCCAGCATATCACAAGGATAACACGAGGACAAGGGCACGGGATGACAGGCAGGAGGGGGCTTTGGAAGCTGCGGTCTAGAGTAAGTACCACGCTCTTGCGGTTAAGATGAACTGTCACCGCAGACCTAACACCCAGGTTACTCGCAACCTTTCACCAGGCAAGGGCAACGTCAGAGTCTTTGCTTCTGTTCCACCCCCTTTACTTGCTGTAACACAGCAGGAAATGAAACTCAGAAACCCAAGGCCAGAGTTAGGGGTTTCAGAACCAGAGAAAAGGTTCTCACTGGAATCACTAGAGGACTCTGGAGGGTCACCAAAGCAGACTCCCTGCTACTAAAAGGCCACACCGTGTGGCTGAGGTCCTGGAGGCATGCTATGGACCGTGTGGAATGCTGACTGGGCCTTCCCAGGGCAGATCTCAAGCCTGGGAACTATATGAACTCTGATGTGGGCCTGCACAAATGTTTCACTAGTCCCATTCGGTGAATGGGAAAAATGACCGATTTCATGAATCATTCCTCTCTGATTGGCTATCACAAGTTTCAAAAGGCTGTTGTGGGGACAAAGACTTTGGCAAAGGCTTCCCCATCCCACAGAGAGACTCAACAACATGGTCCACGGTAGCCATACCCCATCAGCCCCCGGGGAGGGAGAGGTATCACACCAGTCTTGGAACAAGTCAGCCCTCTGGGGGAGAATGAACTTTCAGGTCATTGCTTGTGTTCAAATGGTCTAGGGGAGTTAGAGGCAGATTTCACACTCAGAGAACAGGGCTCATTCTCTGCCATGGTCTTGCTGCACACTCACCATTGGGTCGCAAGATACAGAAATACCCACCTTGGTGCCTCCCAACAGTCTTCCTTCTATCCTGCCTCGATCCCTCCTCCTGCACCCCAAACCCATATAGCAGGAAAAAAAAATGATGTGACAGGGAAGACTCAAGGAAAAATCTAAGGCCAACTGTGAGCCAGTGCCACGGGGCTATAGAAGATGTATATAATCCTAAGACTAAGGGAAAAGCATGCTTGTTTGTTGATTTGTTCGTTCTTTCAGTGAATACTGAGAATCCACTATGTACCAGAAACTGGCACGTTACTTTTAAATGACCCCAGTTCCTTAAAACTTTCAAGAACAGATCAAAAGCACCCTTTCAATTATTTGATAAACATAGATCTGCAAGAAGTCTACGCATGCAAATACACAGAGAGGGCTCTGCAGTTCACATGAACAAATGGAGTTTAAATAAGCAAACATAAATACCAATGGAGACAGATTGTCAACACTTTGTAAATGGATTAATTTGGGAGTGAAAAGCCTAGGATGGGAGACAGCCCATGCCCTCAGCCCCAACATTCCACTTCATAGCCAGTGGTGTGTCCTTTGTCCACAATCACCTAAATGATCCTGTCTCCACCCTGAAGCACAGAATCCACCTTTGTGCCTGAGGACAGCAGCTGATTTCGTGGAAGAGAATGTCGCCAGCCCAAAGGGAACGCCACCATCTGCCCACCTGGAGCCTGGGCAGACCCAGGAATGGGCAGGACCACCTGCTGTGACCAATGCCCCACCTCCACGCACTTCCATAGAAATCTGCAGCTCCTGAGGCCCTGGTCGGTGGGAGAACAGGCTGGAAATGTGCAGACAAGGGGCAGCGTTACCTGCATAGCTCAGGAAGTTTTGGTCTCAGACCAAGATCTGGGAGTCTCAGGTGATCTTCCCCGAGGGTCCTCCCCACAAAAGTTGAACTGAGAAACTGAGAAAAGGGGTAGGATCTCTGAGTGGCCTGCAGAACCCTGGCCTTACCCAATGGTTCTGAAACGCTCAGCGCTAAGTGCTTAGGGTAGACAATCCCAAAGAGCCCTCATATCACCTTGGTTTCTAGAAACTTTTTTTAAACCTCAAATCCCCCTCCCCTATCCACCACTCCCAAGTCTGACTAAAACCAGAACTGTTCTTCTTCCTGAACCTAGCTAGACCCCAGTCCATTAAAGAAGATTCTACAACACACCCTAAGGAGGGTCTGATTCATAGATTACCTGAGGACCGATAAAGTATTCAAAAAGTCTTCTGGTTCCTTAAAAACAGAAACTACATACACCAGGAATTCTGACACAATTCAAGCATGCTATCGTTTTAACTCAACACCCATGAACGACACCAGACCTGCCACCAATGTTAAAGCAGTTTTCCAAAGACAATCTTTTAAGCCAAGAGAGTGTGTGCATTTAGCAAAAGGGTCAGACTTGCTCACGCTGGTCCAGGCGACTGGAGCTGGGCGCTGTGCGCTGCGCCTGCCAGGGCCCAGCGCGGGGCGGGAGACAGGAGGCCCAGGGAGCCAGGCTCAGCCTGTTCTGGGGGCAGGGGGCCATTCCTTCTCATAAGATGGGGAATCACAGCCTCAGCTGGAGCAGCAAGAGGCTGGGTCCCCATCTGATCTTGTAACCACACACTTTCTAAAACCCTGCCAAAATTCCAGGGGAGGGGTCTAGGCTGAATCCTAAACTGAAGGATATCAAGCTCTGGTTTCAAGACATCATCAGATAGCTCTGGGAATGCAGTATGAAAGCAGACGGTCCCAACTTTCCATACCACACGGGTCCTGTCGCAGGCAGAGAAGGCAAGCACAGCACGGAGGGGAGGACACACAGGGACCACCACCAGCACCACCACCAGCAGCCGGAAAGGCCTTGTCAAGCAGCAAAAATATATCGCTCTGGGTATATATTCTTTGGCTTGCAAGTCTGACGTCTAGCCAGCACCCCAAGCGCTGACTACTCGCGTTCCTACCTTGCGCCGGGGTGCCGGTTTCCTTTGAGTTTTGGTTGCAGACCTGCAGTTTCCAAGGCGCTCGGGTCCACCACTCTGCTGGACAGAATACTCCTTTTTCTCAATGATAGCGCAGGCGGAGGGGGAACGTAACACATTCCCGGTGCCCGGAGTAGTTCTGAGAGCCTGCCAGGGGCAGCGGTGGCCATTCTCAGCCCGAGCGACACCCCCCCACCCCCCCACCCCACCCCCGTGAACACGGTGCCATGCCACTCAGTCCGGAACGAGGAAGTGCTTACCCTCTTTAAGGGAGATCTGCCCTGCTCAAGAGCCAGGAAGCTGAGACACCCTCGGAGCCCAGGAGGGTCCCAGCCCCCAGCCCAGGGACTGCAGTTTTTTATTTCCCCGTTATTAGTGGACGCCAAGTGAGACGAGGAGAGGAGTGAGGCAGAAGAGAAAGGTTAATCTTGGGCTTTCCCGCTGTTCCCATGGCCCAGTCCTCCTTGAAGGACATTCCGGGCATCAGTGAGTTTGGCTAAGGGCACAACAAAGCAGATCAAGGGTGGGGTTCACAGGGCAGGCCAGCGGAGCTCTCGTTACCCGGACTTCTTGTGCCTCTCTAATTACTACTTGCTCTGAGAGCTCGGGGAGCTGACACCCACTCCTGCCTTTGTTCTCTCCGATACCTAATACCAGCAGCATTCATTTTTTTCCAAAAAAAAAAAAAAAAAGTAAGGAATCTAGTAAAGCAAGTGTTCAGAAGAGCTCAGGCATTTCTGTAGAACACAAACTGTGCACACGAAAGGGCGATGCTTTTACCATCCCCCGGCGAGAACACTGCATGTTCAATTAGGACAGTTTGGGATACTGTTCAGCTTGCACATTAAAAACAAACAAACAGGGCGCCTGGGTGGCTCAGTTGGTTGAGCGACGGCCTTCGGCTCAGGTCATGATCCTGGAGTCCCGGGATCGAGTCCCGCATCCGGCTCCCTGCTCGGCGGGGAGTCTGCTTCTCCCTCTGACCCTCCCCCATCTCATGCTCTCTCTCTCTCTCTCATTCTCTCTCTCAAATAAATAAATAAAATCTTTAAAACAAACAAACAAAAAACCCAACACTGGAAACAGTGCCTTATGAATGACCCAACACGACAGTAGCTGTACTATTTTACTGTGAATGACTTTGAAGGCCAGAATACATTCCATCAGTTGTGAGTACTGCCAGACAGCCCTGAATTACACCAAATTATGTTTCGCAGAGTCCGTTTGTTCTTGTCTTTCTTGAAGACGTCACCAGCTCATCAGTGTGAGAAACAAAACAGAGGAGCTGGTGGTTTAGAGTGAACGTTTTCACCCCGCGGAGGTTTTGAGTGAGTCCCCATTTTTTGGCAGGTAATGTTTCTTTGAATATTTTAAAGGCAATGCTAATGCTTTTGAGACAATTCAGAATGAGATGATTGCCCCTTGAGGAGCTGTAACATGAGAAGGATCCCTCTGCTTACCTGGTTAAGGGTTTTCTTTTCTTTGTACATTTCCCGGCTGCCTCTTCTTTTCAGGGAACTCTGAAATAGATCCAAGGGACATTCTGTTACAGAGGAGTCATATGCAGGCACCAGGCTCACACCATCCCCACTGGTAGGGGATATACGCAATGGACAGAGGCACTTTTTTCCCCCCTGGAATCAAGGAACCACTTAGAGTCAATGTTTAAATGCTGTTGAATAGGCTTGGCTAGGCCTCTTAACCCTCATGATTGTATCTGGAGTATTCCTCAATTATTCAGTTTAATGAGAAGGGAGGGTGGTTTGGATAATTTGTAATAGTGGGGGGGAGATGGTAGAAAGTTTTGAAAACAGATATGTAACATTTCTGGAGCTGCTTTACCTTCCTAATTACATTTTTTGGGGGCGAATATCAAAATTAATTGGTGCTTCCTGAGTGCCTATGGGTAAATCACCAGATAACACAGTGGTAGGAAGGGAGAGAAGGGTGGCCTGTGTTTATGGAGAAAACCTAATCCAGGTTGCCACACAGCCCCCTTCAATTCATGACTAAACCTACATCTTCAAGTTCCTGTAAGTCCGTAAGTTATTCATGTGACATGGCCTTGGCTGTGTCCCTTCAGTGGGCTGGGTCCCTGCCTAGTTTTACATATGGTGCAGTGCACCTCTGCCTGCTATTAGCAAGAAATGTGTCTGAAATACAAACATGAATATAAATAAAAGGGCCAGGGATGTCTGAGATGGAATAGCAGGGAGCCCAAACAGTCCCTGCTGAAGTATGGTATGAAGACTGAAAGAACTGGCCAGCAGATTGAGAAGCATCCTAGGGGGGAGACAAAAGGATGTGAAACCTGAAAAGATGAACGGAATCCTGAGATAAGCCAGGAGAAGGCGGTTTGGACAGTTTAAGACTTGCCGGCTCTCATTCAGACCCCAGCAAGCCTGTGAGTGGGAAGGGGTTCTCCCTGAGGGCTGCCCCCTCCCCTCCACAGCCTTGCCCTACATGAGGCACCAGGCACAGACCTGGAACCTTGGATCCTCTGGGAGTTCATCTCAAGGGGGCTCAGAGCCTCTCTGCTCATTCCTTTGCTGCAACCCCCGCCCCTGCCCAAACAGCCTGGGAAGGAGGCTCCCACGCAAGTCACTTACATCAGGGTCAGACCTACGGTAATGAATTCAGTTCTGTTTACATTCAAAGTGCCTCACTCACAGAAGGCCAGGGAGTGCCATTTACTGGATGAATTTCGGGGTTATGAAACAATTAAAATTCCAGCTGCCCCTTAGCCTCTAGGAGCCAGAGCCCTCGAGAAAAAAAACGGTAATTGAGAGAGGGTGAGAAGGTTACAGAATCAGCATGGAGTGTGGGTACTCCCGGGTCAGCCAAGACGGGGTGTGTGGAAACAGATTGCTGAACCCCAGCTGCAGAAGCAGCTTTGTTTCCTTTAGCCTTTTTGGTAAAAGCAGGGCCAAACTAGAGAGAACCAGCCTCTTCCAACAGGTTATGTTAAGCCTGTCTTAAGAAGGGCTTGAGATTTACCATCCAGAGTCCATAGGCTTTCCAAGATTCTTCACACTGCAATGAAGCAGTTTCTTTGATTGTAATGAGCTGAATGAGATGAACACTTCTGATGATTCACTACAGAGAAGAGTTTCCATAAAGAAGCAGGGGAGAGAAACCATTCCCAAGGAAGGCTTCAGCCTATGGGATTTAATTCTGGGACCCAGGTCAGTGCAGTGAGCCTGCCCTCTACAAGCCACCCTGCACTGCATCACGTTCTCCCAGTGAATGCAAAGTACATTCTGCATACCCGAAAGGAAATGGTGTGGAAGTAAGATGAAAGCTAGAAGTGGAGACAGGAGAATTATGGTGCTGCATTTGAGGGGGTGGTGGGGGGAGGAAGGACCTGGGTGAGCTCTCCTGCTGGGAGGCAGCCAATGGGGAGTCTGTCTGTGCACAGATTTCTCCCACCCGCTTGATGGGTCTTCCCCCTTGCTGAGCCTTGAGTGCAACTGCCTCGGAATCCTGTGGTCCTCCTAGCGAATCAGGGAACAGGTGGGGGGCCGTGGGATCCCCAACACAGATCCCAGTCACAGTTTCAACTACAATGAAAAACAACGCAAAGATTAAAGTTAACCAGAAACTGGCAGAACCTCTATGAAAGAAACCATACAATTTTGGTGCTGGACATAAAGGAATGCTTGATGCTGTCCAAGGGAAAGACCCTATTTTATCAAGATGTCACATTTCTCCCACATCACTGTAAGTATGATGTCATGTTAACCAAATTCCTCTTTCCTTCCATATATGTAATGTTATACACACATATACACAAAAAGTATTTATTAGTATATATACACATACACACACACAGATACTCACACACAAATATTATTTGTGTATATGTGAGGGAGGTAAGAATATGGAAAGATTTGACACAATGACTCAAAAATTCATCTTGAACAGGGGCTGGGAAACTAAGGCCTTCAGGACAAATCACCCTACGGCCTGTTTTATAAATGAGTTTCGCTGGAGCACAGCCTTGTTTATTACTGTCTATTTCTACTTTGTACTACAGAAGCAGAGCTGAGTAGCTGTGACAATGGCCTGCAGAGCCCCCAGCATTTACTATCTGGCTCTTTTCAGAAAGTTTGCTGACCTCTGACCTAGAAAAATAAATTGGTAAAAACAGCCAAGAACACTTTGAAGAGGAAGAATAATGACAGTCGGTTTGCACTATTAGGTGTAGAAATACAATATAATGGTTTGGTGCTGGTACAAAAATAGTCAGATAAATGGAACAAAACAGAAAGCCCAGAAATAAATTTGAGAGTATATGAGATTTTAACGATCGATACAGGTAGCATTTGAAAAGTAGGGGAAAGAATGGGCTATTTGGTATATGCTGGAGAAACAACTGGCTAGCACAAGGAAAAAAAAAGCAAGTTCAATACAAGGTATCAAAAAAAAATTCCAGATGAATTAAAAATCTAGATGTAAGGAATCATAAAGGAACTAGAAAGAAAAGGGACTAATTTGTTTGTTCTTGGGGCATAGCCTTTATAAACACAGAAACAAAAGCCAAAACATCCAAGGAAAAGACTGATCAAGTGGATCGGTAAAATCTTTAAATTTTTACGTATCCAAAAAAAAATATTTACAGTATTAAAAAGCAAATGACAAAATGGAAAAAAATTTTTTTTCTAGTGCAAGACAGACAAGAGTAATATTTTGCAAGCAACAGGAAAACTGCTTCAATTAAAGAATTAAAGAGCCTACAAACACATGATTATTAGCAATTGAAATAAAATATCATTTTTTCACTGAGAGGTTTACAGACCAAAAGACATATGACACCCAGCGTTAGCAAGTGTCGTATGTCTGCATGGGCATTTCCATCCAGATCAGTGAGAGTGGGGACTCCCACAGCATTTCAGGTAGGCAACTGAGCCAGGCAAATGCGTACGTTGTGAGCCGGGAATTCCACTTCTGGAAAGAATCGGCTAAATTCCCATGACTAAGATGGCCTTGACTCACCCAGTGTTAATCCAGCATCTACTATGTTGCCTTGTCTGAGCAACAGAGTGACAAGTCCTTATTTTCAAGGAGCTGTCATGAGAGTGTGGAGAGTCAGACAATAAGAAAGGAAACAACAAGAACAAAATAATTTCTGTTGGCCTAAGGAAACATGCAGAGATACCGAGGGAAGATTTATGGGTAAGAATGCTGATCACACTACCTTTTATAATAGTGAGTGAGTACTGTGGAGGGTGTTAAAATTATGTTTTTAAAGAATACTTAAAGATTTGGGAAATACAATGTGTTAAAAGAAAAACACAGCTTACAAACATCATGTATTTTGTAATTTCAATTTATATCTAATAAAATATAAATATAGATATGTTAGAAAAGCAGACTGGAGAAACAGATATCAAGTGCTAACAGTGTTTGGGGCACCTGGGTGGCTCAGTCATTAAGCATCTGCCTTCGGCTCAGGTCATGATCCCAGGGTCCTGGGATTGAGCCCCGCCTTGGGCTCCCTGCTCGGCGGGAAGCCTGCTTCTCCCTCTCCCACTCCCCCTGCTTGTGTTCCCTCTCTTGCTGTGTCTCTCTCTGTCAAATAAATAATAAAAATCTTAAAAAAAAAAAGTGTTAACAGTGTTTATCCTCAGGTGATAGAATTATGAGTGATTTTCATTTTCTTTTTTGTGGCTTTTTATAGTCTCCAAATTACCTACAGTGAATACTATTTCCTTTACAATTAAAAAAAAAAACGAGGAAATTATTAAACAGGTCAGAGAAAAGAGGCCATCACTGATCTCCTATGTAGGATCGCAGTGGTATTTTATCATAAATTATTGCCAGGTTCTTGGATCTCTTTCTGTAGGCTGACATTGTTTTTATCAGCCTAGCACTTCAGGTATACCCTAGTATGTATAATCTATATGTATATTGTTTTAATAGACCAGGAAACCCCCTGAGGAGTGAGGAAACCTGCCAGGTGCCCCACTGTAATGCAGGTCCCTGGCATCTGGCTCCCTCACCAACTGTCATGGGGTCACAAGGCCCCCAGCCTGGGGTACGGTGTCTTTCCAGGCTCACCTGCTGCGAGTCTCATCCAGGGCAGAGAGCTGAGTGCTTTGGGTATACTTGGCCAAGGGACCCTGGGTGTAAGACGATTTGTGTGCACGTGATTCACGGCCAGTTCATTTCTCTAGATGATTCAGAGATCCAGTGGAGAATCTCTTCCAAAAAACAATAAGAAAAAGAGGAAAATGTTGACCATCAAATAAACTGAACCCAGAATGGGGGACTTGCCTGCTGATTCATTCGACTCTTTCTTTTTATTCTGGCCAACTGCCAGCAAACCAACTCTAAATTCCTACTGAAAGGGGGAAAACTTGAGTTTCTACCTCCAAATTGAATCCATCTAATGCTGATGCATTTGCTGAGTACTGAAAATGATTAAATAAAATATGAAGTTAGGCAATTATTTGGACTTTCAAGTCATTTCTTAATGTTTCCTATTTTAAGTCAGCAGTTTCTTCCAGGCAATTTCAGA